ATACATATAGAGCTGCCAAGTTCGCGTATGCCGCACGCATAAATTGGTTTGTATAATTATAATAAACCTGCAGTATTTCCCTTACGAATTTTCTTAATTTGCAGTACTCCCATAGGCAATGTAAGGCAGCACAATGTGCAAAGTCGTGTTTATTTTCAAATACGCTGTTTGCCTATATACTTCTCTTCTATTACTAACTCTGAACCTCTGTAAAGAGCTGATGGTAGCATACACAGTAAATATTCCACCCCATAATTCTCATGCAATTAAAAGGGATACATAGAGAGGTATGGGGAGAGTTTTGAGTAGCACAGGACCTCCCTTCTTCTGTACATCTCCTCTCTTCTCCTTGAACAACACCATGGTAACCACCCCCAGTAGGAAGGAGTAGATTATGGTGAAGTAGCCAAGCCATCGGAACTGGTCTATTGAAGGGATTTGAGCCACTATTGCAGCAAGACCTGAGGAGGGAGAGTGAGTGTATCAAAGCAGGGTGCGGCAATGAAGGAAGTAAGGGGCTTGTATGATGGAAGTGAGTGGCGAAAAAAGGTGGCCAGCAAAACTCACTGGGCCCTGAAAGGGACGATATGGTGCACACAATGAAAGTAGCAAAGAAAGCCGTGTTTTTCAAATTTGATTTTTCTCTCTTTTCTGGAGGCATGGCTGCTATCACAGTGGAGCAAGTCTCCCCGACATAGGTCCTGAGGACAACAGTCACTGCCCCCATGTAATAACCAATGAAAAATCGACCTGCATGAAAGTACAATAATGCAAATGTGCATATCCGACCCCCACGAAAACACTTGAATAAAAAAAAATTCTATCTGGGTAGGACTTCCAGTTCTTTAGACAGAGTGCACTAAGCTAGCTATCAGGGGAGCTCAGCTGAGGCAGCGCCCATAGCCCGCAAACAACACAAGGCAAGGCAAAGGCAAACACATGGCATAGAAACCCGTCACCACGTAAAACATAAAATACCCAAGGTATGTATTTGAGTGTGATTTACCAATGAGCAGCATCCAACCATACTCTCCCACTCCATACAACAGTCCTCCAAAGGCACAGAGAGAGAGATTGGCCAGCATCAGGAACTTGATGAAGACCTTTCGCATCAGTACGGACGTAGCTACGGCTCCAGCGAGCTCTCCGACACTTATGATGCTCACTATCCACGAGTACCACGTCTCGCTCAGCCCCAGCCCCGGCTGCAGCTGCATGTGCGACAACACGTGCCTTCAGCTCGTGCGGGACTACACAGACACGTTACCCATTACACGTACGTACGTCAGGATCATCTGGAGTAGTGCTGCTGGTCACGAACTGGTGGAGGGACGGCAGAGCACTCGAGTATGAGAACCCCACGAGGGTGCAGAAGGCCGCGAGGATGCACCAGTTCTGCTGGTAGCGACAGCGCTCGCTGGACGATCCACACCTCACCCCTGACTCCATCACTCTCCCGATCAGGGTCGCCAGAGAACGGCAAGACATCTCAGCTCATGGTAAAAACACGGCAAGACCAAATCACGAACTGTGAACTGGCCGGCGGCGGCCACAGCTAGCTAGCTGACTACCGTAAAATGCGCATGCGTAGAAGTGTATTTTTCTAGGTGCAATTACAATGGATCACAACCTGTGTTTAGTCTTCCTCTGAAGATGATTCCATGTTCTCCAACAACTGAGTCTTATCACTATCAAATTTTCTTCTTCCTCTCGTCCCACCCTCCACCTCTCTCTGCCCATCACCTAAACCTCCACTGTCCTTCTCCACACACCAGTCTCCATTCTCAAGAGAGACTAACCCACTATCACCACCAATTTCAAGTTCCACTGTATCTTGATTGAGTAGCGAGTTTAGTTCGATGGAGGCAACATTTCCGCTAGTTCTCATCACTTGCTGCTGTTGATTTGCTGGTTTCATGGTCCGATACAGTAGGATGTAGGGCACTATCACCAGTAGAACAGACACTGACAGGATGTTCATTACGATATACACATGATGGTCGGCTGCCAGGTAGGCTGCATTGGCTGGATAACAACACACAGTTTACACTATTCTCAGACTATTTGCTCTTACCCCAAACAGGTCCAGTGAACCTTGCAGCAGCTCCCACAGCTACAAATATACCCATGATGAGTGCCTAATGTTCATAGAACTATCTTCATACAAATGCATGCTCTCTTCATACAAATGTATGCTACTATAAAGAAAGATTTACCTAGAGGGAAACTTTTGAAGGGACAAAACACACAAGCAATAGTCTATGGGCCCACATTGAACTATACATATGTCCCAAGACTTCATACATGCCCGCAGTTCTCCTCGGAAATATTAGCTTACTATACGCTCTAATACCTGTGACTCTCCGGCCAATGCATCAGAGGCTATAAGAGTGATGGAGACACGGCTCATTGGTACTATTGCACTCATGAGAGCCATTCCCAGGAGGAACTGGACGAGGTTGAGGGAGTGGCTGTGACTGTGACACAGTCTGGCACATCGCTGGCAGTCCCTCCCTGTCACCCGCGAGTGAGGGTTCCAGAAACACCTGAATTCTGACACTCCAGAGAATGCCTCACAAACACAACTGGCATTCACGTCAATGATCCCATTTGTCAAACTCTGTTCCACTCCACACTCCTCCAAATTGACTCCTGACTTCTCTACAGCACAGAAGTAGCTTCCAGGATCTACTTCACACCATATCGCTGACCCACTTCCAAAAGCCATATCCTTAGGTTCTGATAAAATTGTGAAATTGACTCCTTCAGTTTTACTGAACTGGCTGCAGGGGTCTCCATGTACTGATTGCCAATCAGTTGCTATTAAAGAGCTGCTGAGGGCTAGGCCCAGTGCGATGATACTCGAAATACGATTGTTGATGCGCAATCTCTGAAGTGCATACCTGAATAGAAACAAACGGTGTGTATATATTTTATATATTACTATTAGCCTAAAAGTAAATATTATGGCAGTCCTAACACTGAAGTTCGTGCTAGAATCGCTAAACTATTTTTGCCAATGACAAAATAGCCTAGAGTTAGCTACATGGTTTACATTGCCACTCTAAGGCCCTTTACACCTGCACCAATCTAACTACACTGGCAACTCCGATGCTAAAACACCATAGTTATTGACCACAAGTTACACTGTAGCACTTACAGAAGAAGTGTTCCGCAGGAAAAGAAAATGAGTGTACCAAAGAAGGCGTAAGCGTCGTACTCCACATCAAAACCGAAATTATCTGCGAGAACTGGATTGAGCAGAGTCTCAAATACAGCAAAGTGCCAGTTGACGACAAAGAAAGCAACCATGAGGCAAGTCACTGTCTTTGTTCCACATTACGTCAAGGAACAGGACACATGAATTGATGTAACCTTGAAAAATGTGCAGCTAAACACTGGTTGGGATGGGACAGCAGAGCACAAAGCATGCCAAACAAAACCATTCACATAATAATAGTATTTCTAATTTTTTTGAAGTGTGGGATACATAGAGAGGTATGGGGAGAGTTTTGAGTAGCACAGGACCTCCCTTCTTCTGTACATCTCCTCTCTTCTCCCTGAACAACACCATGGTAACCACCCCCAGTAGGATGGAGAAGATTATGGTGAAGTAGCCAGGCCATCGGAACTGGTCTATTGAAGGGATTTGAGCCACTACTGCAGCAAGTCCTGAGGAGTGAGAAAATGAGAAACATATACAGTGAGACCTCCGAAAAGAACTCTCTAAATAAAGGCTGCCCTATACCAATGCATTAGTACTATACTTCGCGAATAAAGGACACATTCAAAATGTCTCCAAGGTGTCCCTTATTCAGAGGTTTCATAGAGACGAAAGAGAGAGGGGGGAAATAAAGAAAGAGGTACTAACCTGGACCAGAGAGGCTAGAGACACAACAGACTGTGAAGCCGACAAAGAAGGCAGTGTATTTCAGAGTCGACTTTTCTCGCTTCTCAAGAGGCATGGCTGCTATGATGGTGGAGCTGGTCTCACCGACATAGGTTCTGAAGGTAACTGTTTCAGCTCCCATGTAGAACCCAATCAGGAATCGACCTGCAACACACACACACACACACCACTTTACTGCTAAACACGATTACGACAATGCATTGGCACACTGTACACACCAGTGAGCAGCATCCAACTATTCTCTCCCACTCCATACAACAGTCCTCCAAAGGCACACAGAGAGAGATTGGCCAGCATCACGTACTTGGTGAAGATCCTCCGCAGCAGGAGAGAGGTAACCACTGCTCCGGCAAACTCACCAATGCTCAGAATGCTCACTATCCACGAATACCACGTCTCGTTCAATCCTAGCCCCGGCTGCACCTGCAATAAGTATTCTAACGCGGTGTTCAACGATGTGGAGGCTCAACACCCACGTACATTAGGATCGTCTGGACGAGTGCTGCTAGTCACAAACTGGTGGAGGGACGGCAGAGCGCTCGTGTAGGAGAATCCCACGAGGGTGCAGTAGAGGGTCAGAACGACCCAGTTCTGCTGGTAGCGACAGCGATCGCTCGATGGTCCACATCTAACCCCTGACCCGACCACACTCCCGCTTATGGCCGCCAGAGAACGGTACCGCATTGTCCCGATCAGCAAGAATCCAGTTGTTCTTGCCGCTGTTCACGCTAGTCTACCCCGCCCACACCGCGTGGATGCACGCGCGCATGCGTACTATACTTTTACTCGCGGCGAGATAATTAAAGAGAAGGAGGGGCTGATTCACGCGCGGCTGAGTCTGATCTGACATGACACGAGGTCTGACCGACACCCCGCGTGATTGGCAATGGAGAAGAAAACCGTGGTGGCTGAGGACGATAGGGACCCGTACGGCCACCCTCGAGTGCCGTACCGCGGTCACTACGATCGACGACGCTGCGACCTGCGGAGGGGCTGGGTTGAGCGGTTTGCATCGTGCAGTCTGGAGCACGTCGGCGGCTGGTGGGACGGAGAGGGAGAAGACGACTCCCGCTCTTGCTTTGGACTCAAGGGTAACATAGAGAATCCTATTGGCCTCGCAAAGATTCCCCTGGCCGCTGCCGGACCGCTTCTCGTCCGGGGACGCAACGTGAATGGCTACGTTTTGGTTCCCTGCGCCACTACGGAAGGCGCTCTTGTTGCGTCCATAACCCGTGGGGCAGCAGCACTCACCAGGGCCGGCGGCGTGTTCACCCTACCTTCGGAGAAGTACATGAATCGCGCACCGTGTTTCGTGTGCAGGAACGCTGCAGAGTCGGAGCAAGTGTGGCAGTGGCTCGTCAAACACAAGGAAAACCTACAGGAACAAGTAAGCCCTTTTGCAGCCCTAGTTTATGTAGCACATCAATCCCTCAGGTTCGCCAGTACAGCCAGCACACAGTCCTGGAGAGTTTGATGCCATTTCGTCAGGGTCGGACCCTTGTGGTTCGCTTCAACTTCACCACGGGTGACGCTTCTGGGCAAAACATGGTCACAACTGCCACCTGGCACGTCTGCAAGTGGGCCCTGGAACAGATCAAGAAGGACCTACCAGACGTCTGTGTGACTGACTTTATCGTGGAGTCATCAGCTTCTGGGGACAAGCAGAGTGCAGCCTCGATGCTGGTCCTTCCTCGAGGTGTCCACGTACAGGCTGAAGCCTGGATACCTGAGTCGGTACTACAGTCTACACTCAAGGTAATGGACTAAATAAACTGGACTGGCTCTAATAATGTCAATTGTTCTGAGCTCTAAAACTTCAAAGGCTCCACTGTAGACTAGTGCATGCTGTGTGTTTTTTGACTTTACGGTGCAGATAGTAAAATTATTCTGAGCTCTAAACGTGAAAAGGCCCCACTGCAGACTAGTGCATTTTGACTTTGCTTCAAGACCTCGTTTGCTGTCTATTCATATTACTGCAGGTAGATTTTGTAGACATTTTTGGTTCATGCTGTGTGTTGTGTTGTGTTGTTTGCTTCGCCTTTAACTTGAGACCTCGTTGTTGACCAATGACTACAGGTGGATTTGCAAGCATTTTTGGCGACATACAACCGAATGCAAGAAGGCCAGGTGCAGCTAGGTGCTCTGGGGTCGACCATCAATGTGGGGAACCTTCTTGCTGCAGTGTTCATTGCCACTGGTCAAGACCCTGCCTCCATCACCGAGTGTGCTCACGGCCTTCTCATAGTTAGACCTGCCACAAAGCAAGAGATTGAAACACAAGGTTTATGATGAACCAAATCTCTATACAGTGAAACCTCGGGATAAGAGACAACTCTTGAACATAGAATGTGTCTGTTATTCAAAGGTGTCCATTTTTGGGGTATTACACTAATGTATTAGTATGTGGCGGAACCAATGGCTTGTTTGGAGGAGCATTGGCAGCTATAGCTTCCAGTTCTGGACACAACAGAAACAAAGACCATTGCAGGGCTGGCACCAGAGCGCACCAGGGAGACATAGTTCTTCATTTGTTCCCCCGTAAATGCTTTACGTGGGACACTATGACCCCCAATTAGTAAGTGTGCTATTTCTCTGTGGGACTGATTTGGAACTAACTAACTGTCCTTTATAGAGAGGCCTGAAGGGTCCATTTTGGGTTTTTACTAATTCTGGGTGTTCCTGATATAGGTATGACACGGGGAGATCCTCGTGTTGGTGTCGGTGAAGGAGTGACGTATTCTGGAGTGTATGCGTCCCTGATTCTGCCAGGATTGGTGATAGGAACAGTAGGTGGAGGAACTCAGCTGGCCACGCAAAAAGAGTGTCTCTCTATGATGGGATGCTACGGCAAGGTGAGGTGGCAAGAATGGCAAAGACTTAGTATTTGCTCATCAGAAATGTGTTGCATTCAGTAAAGCCTGCTTGAAATGCAGATGATGATTCATTTTGTAAGCCGCCAGAACCTAACGCTGCGTGATGCTCCACCCCCTAGGATGGAGTCTTCAGATTGGCAGAGATCATTGCTGGGTTTGCTCTGGGTCTGGATCTCTCCCTCATTTCAGCCATCGCCAGTGGACAGTTTGCGACTGCTCACGAGAAGCTCGGTCGAAACAGACCTACAAGTGGTCTAAGGGAGGAGCACCTGGTGCCACAGTTGTTCCAAGACATAGTGGGAGAGAGGGGTACAGTGGAGAACTGGACTTCATTCGGTGTAAGTGCAGCATGAAATGTGCCGTAGCACAGTCGTTTGAGGTTTGCCTTTGTCTTGTGTTGTAATATTGAACCTCTACCGGCTGAGGTACATACAGGCTGAGTTGGTAGAGGGCTCGCCTACTCTGCAGAGTGTCATGTGTTTCGAATCCATCCATGACAGCTCTTTTTAACATCTGTCCTGGATGTAATTTTGGCTTTGCCTTGCTATTACATTGCTCCTCTAGTTCTGAAGCCGCTGGTGTCTCTCATAGTCCGCATTTTACCCTAGTGCCAGAACAGCTTATGGCAAACCAAGTACTCCCTTTATGCAGGTGAATACAGGCAACAGTATACTCTCTGAGCTAACAAAGAGAGAGCTGAGCAAGAAAGTGGGTCACTTTGGATTCAAGGTCACCTACAGAACCAGGGATGTGAGTCATCTCCCAGCTATTTCCTGTCTCCGTGAATAGTTACAACTTGTGGCGTTGTGTATATACTTCCTCTGTTGGTTTCGCAGAGAGACATCACTCATCCTAACTCAAATATTACCGAATCTGCATCAGGGCCAAGCTCCATAACTTAATGCGGATGTACATTGCGTTACCTTTGATGCATGAAATGTGTGTAGAATATACTCTGTTGCTGCTATACAGACGAAACATTTCTGTGTGTTGCAAGGCATTTTCGCAGTACAAAACCTCTGAATAGGAGATATTTTGGGGACACTGAACATGTCTTTATTCAGAGCTGTCCGTTTGTAATATGTATTACTATGGGATAGACCAAGTGTCCTGTATCGCAAGATGCCCTTTATCACTGGTTTCACTAATGCAGGCAAGTCCAGACAGACTCCAGTGGTCCTGAAATCAAAGCCGACAGATATTGAAGTGTGCAACATGGTCAACAAGATGGCCCAGGCTTGTGGACTTAGCCTTGCTGTGCAGTACGAGAAATTCAAGATGAACACTGATTTCAGGTATTTGAATACTATTTTGGCTTGAGGTTGATGCCCAGTAATTTTTGAGCGCGAGGTAGATTTTTAAAGCGTACAGTTTTTCGAGGTGTCCCTTTGATAGATTTTCTGTCAAGTATTTTTGAGCTCGGGGTATGTTTGTGGTAGATTTTTAGGGTGCATTGTGGCTAACTTTTGTTTCAATTGTAGATTTTGCAGTCGACGAGAGGTGGAGCTGTGTCGACTCGATAATCCAGTGTTGAGGCAGTTCATGCCAACTGTCTACCACACACTGATGGATGAGAGAAAGGTGAGTTGGGTTTAGCACATTTTCTTTGCCGTGTTACCTCAGATGGTTTACTTCGGCATTACCAAAGACGCTATGTTAGTAACCTTAAGAGGTGCTCTAAAGGTAATGTGGCAGCATAATAATATAAGGGCTAAATTTAGAAACGTAATTGCATTCTTACACTGAGATTGTTTAATAGTGTGACATTTCTAAATTTAGCCCTATGTATATACCTGTACTGCCACATTCCCCTTTAATCTTTTGGGGTTGCCATTCAGAATTACCCACTGCCTACGGTTGTACTTTCTGTGCAAGTGTTTCTGACCATGCATGTCTATGCAGGATTTGTATGTGGTGGCAATGGAGTATTTGTCACAGGAGAATGTGTGTCTGCTAAACACAATTGACGATGTGTCAGTGTGGACAACCAATGACATAAAGGTTGGTATAATATACAGTTGCGTCAAAAGCAACTCAAGATGAGTTGATATACCAACATTTCACCTGCTGTAGCCTCCCACTTTGATTTTTGCAACAATAAGCATCAATACTGAGCCGAAGAAACCCAGCATGCCTGTCACTTTTGCAGGGCTAGGAGCTCTGTCTTTTTCCTTCCCTCTCTACTTCTCCCCCCCCCTCTTTTCTTCTCCCAACTGGTATATAGGTGGTGCTACGTGATCTAGCCCACCTCCACTCGCTCTATCTGGGTCAGCACGAGTGGCTGAGCTCCCAGCCCTGGCTGGAGAGGGTGAGGCTGCAGGAGATGGTGCAAATGACTCCGCTCTGGAGGGAACTGGCCTCTCATTCTCACCGAGAGTTTCCAAACTTCTGGTCCAGTCATCGGTAGGACAAGCAGCTGCACAGTAGACGCCTAGGACCCAAGTTTGATTCCCTGTTTTTTTCTAGCATTAAAAATCGAACCCTCTTGGCACATCAATCACCTACTTCTGTAAATGCTTCAAGGTTGAGATACCATTGTTTGCAGGATTTAAATTTACCCATGATGCAGGTTCCATTTTCACATTCGAGAAATTTTTTAAGACACAATAGGTTCATTGTATTATACCTCCTCATCCTCTTCCTCAAAGCTATCGTCTGATTAACCAAAGGCTCCATTCCTCTATGCTGTTTCTCAATTACCGTTGCTATTATGTTGCCCAGACGAGTCGAACATTTTCGTGTTTTCCTGCAGAGTGGCTATTGTGAACAGAGCAATTGAGAATCTCCCACTCGTTTGGGCGTTGTTTGAGTCAACACCTCACACTCTGGTTCATAATGACTGCAGCCCGCGCAACATATGTCTCCGGCACCCCACGAAACACTCCTCCTCTACCTCTTCTTCTTTGTCTTCTTCTACCACCTGGTCTCTCTCCTCCTCCTCTTCCTCTTCCTCCCCCTCATCCTCCTCGACACTACCCGGTCCGATTAACCAAGGCTCATTCACAGGCTCCATTCCGTTCCAAGATCCTCGGACTCTGTGTTTGTATGACTGGGAACTGGCCACTGTAGGAGTGGCTCAATATGACGTCGCTGAGCTCCTCTGCTTCACTCTCGAACCTTCCACACCACCTCACGTCTGGCTGAGCCTGCTGGAGTTTCATCGCCAACACTTGGAGTATTACTCCGGAGTGAAATTCCCCCCGAAAAAGTAAAATTTTGTCCATTGATTCTTTCCACCCAAGTTGATGGTCATAGATGCTAACTGGACAGTCCCAAATTACAAGCGTTGTCACAGTGGTGCCTCGCGCGGTGAACTCAAAATGCCCAAATGTCCCAAAATCTTCAATTTGTAGCCTTGTAGCTAAATCTGACAATCATAACGGCACTCAGCAAACCATGCATGCTGCCATTGTTAATAAGTGGAAGTGTCATGTTAATTAGGGGGTGTGGCCAAAATAAGAGGTAGCAACTACGAATATTGTATGCAGGATTATGCTCTCTCCCCCTTTTTCTCTTCTTAGATATGTGGACGTGTTTCACGGGTGTCTATTTCACTTTGCCATGAAGAGACTGGCCCTCCATACTATGGCCCACACACACAAAGACTATCGCTATCTCCCCAGAGTGGTAAACACTCTCTTCTCATTCCTGGAGGAGCAGATGAAACAATCAGACTTCAGCCCCTCCTTCTCCTGCACCACCCAATCAAAATTATAATGGCTTGCACCACCTAATTAGAAATTACCAATATTGATTTTACAATTTCTAATTCTGTTTCGTGTTTGATCACTTAGGTTATTATAAGAGTAGATATTACTGCCATCACTTGCTTGAAATTGATGGGCTGGGCTATACGTGGTTCTCCACGCTAGTAGCTCGCAGAGTCTGACACGGGCTAGCTACAGTTAGTCGATACACGCCCTTCGTCATGCCTTCAAGATACACAGAGCAAGTGGACCCGGTCGAGGTAAGCCTTGCTAATTAGCATATTTATTGACTTGTTCACTTGGTTTTCACGCCAAACTTCTGAACACAGTATTTTTTATTTTATGATATCGCCTTGGCCAGTGTAGCACTGAACCTGTTACTATTGCTCTTTGGCCAGTTTCTTGCAAGTGGTGGCAGAAAATGTGGTAACAGACAGACTTGACAGACACACTCACGAACCAATGAAAAGCACTGAAGTGCAAACCCTCGGCGCACTGTGACGCGCACGCGTAAGTAAACGCATGCGCCGTACCACTAATTGATGGGCTGGGTTTAGTTTTAGCTGTTACTCGTGGTCTCTTGCCAGCTCGCGCAGAGTCTGATGCGGGCTAACTACACTACTAGATAGCATGCGAGAGGCGATACACGCCCTGCGTTGCATCTTCTGGTGCCTCCGAAGTACGCAGAGCACGCGGATCGACCAGACCGCGGTAAGCCATCCCGTCCGTTTCGTATTTGCATATTGGCTTTTTCGCGCTCTAGCTTTGCAACGGAGCAGTTTCAGAGAAAACCCCACAAACTTTCTGACCTTCATCGCCCGTTCGGTAGGTGGTATCCTTTGTGAGACGAAAAAACACTCGAGAAGTGAGATGAAGAGTAACAGACAGACTGACAGACAGACAGACAGACCCAAGTACTGTAACCCTAGCTGCGCATGCGCGCCGAGGGTTAACTACCCTAATCCTCGCTGCACATGCGGGGGAAAGGCAGGTTAATTATGGGAAAGGGACCAATTCTTCCATATCAGCACACCATCTGGAACATGACTAAACGAGTGTTAATACCAAATACAAAGAAGCGAGCTTTTATACTTTGCGCACGCAGTCATACTTGAGATGATGCACCGAGCTAGCAAAATGAGGCAGGCCATTGGCGTTTGAAACGCCCAAACTGAGCCACATGGCTTCTGGTCATGGCTCACATACAGCAATGCTGCTTATTCATAGGCTCCAACATAATAAAATATATACACGTTGCTGATCAATCCTCAGAATCAAGCAAATAGACATAGGGAGACTTATGGAACTGCAAACATTTCTTTTTCAACTGTCCCTCAGTCAACTGGTTGTAGTTCTTCTTATCCTTCACCATCTTCTGCAACGTGAAGCAAGCAAAGAGAACCTAGTCTCAACTAGGCCCTCGAAAAATTGTCGGGACTTGTTGCGCAACTTGTCCCACTCTACTTATTAGCTAACTGTAAGCCTCATAAAAGGGAAATGGTAATTATACTTACACGCTTATTGTTTTGTCCACAACCATGACGCCTTACTTAGTATCTCTAAAACACATAACCTCACGCATGCTGCATTAAGCACCTGCTCTATACCTACCTTATAGTTTGTTCCATGTCTCATGATAAGATAGGCAATAAATTTAGCCTCACTGGGTGACATCACAAATGGTTTGTTTGGAGGAGCATTGGCAGCTATAGCTTCCAGTTCTGGACACAACAAAAACAAAGACCATTGCAGGGCTGGCACCAGGGAGACATAGTTCTTCATTTGTCCCCCATTAATATGCCTTACATGGGACACTATGACCCCCAATTTTTCTCTGTGGGACTGATTTGGAACTAACTATATAGCTCTGCTTCACAATGTGGACACTGTAAGTGGATAACAAGGCCGCCACACCACTAAGGCCACCATCACATCCGTTATCGACACTGACATAAAAAGGTGCCCTAATAGAGAGATGTCTTTTCATCCACTAATATGCATATTAGCAAAAAACACCTGAAATGAGGTCAGTCTGTTCTGATGGAGTCGATTTCTGTAGTTCAGTATTCTCCACTGCCATGTCATCAACCTGTATATACAACACAGCATAATAAAAACGGCAAAATAATTATATTAATCTTTTCCACTACGAAAAAACATTAGCAAGCATCAAAGAATAGCATAATATCCTCTTTTTGGGCGTATTAAGCTTACCCCCTACAGATTATCACTACACTACACACCCAGTCACACACGCCCCCACAAACACACCTCGTTGGTTGAGTTGTTAGGTTGTCTGACTGGCAGAGATCTGTTGGGGTCGATACTGAGCCCCAGTTCCATGAGGTTCTGCTTCATCGTCTTCTTCGAGTCCCACCGCTCTCTGATACACTCCCTAAGGAAGCAGAAAGGAGTCAAAACGAACTTGAAAACGCACCAAAATGCTTACAGTTGAATCCGGTTTTTGACGCTTTTGCAGCTCCTCTTCTTCAGCCTTCGCCCGTAGCGAGTGTTGTTGATTCTGGAGTTCTTCCGCGACCTTCGTTTTCTCACTGTCGGCATCTTTTCTCGTCTCTCTGTCGGTTTGTCGACACGTGCAGGGTGCGCGTTTATTAGAATCGTGGTAACACGACAACGTAACGTATGACTCGACCTTCGAACTTCAAACACCGACGATGTCGACGGCTGTAGAGGGTCGGCAAGACTACAGACACCGGGACCATCGGGACAGAGACCCGCCTTATCGTGGGTACGAGCGGAGGAGGTCGCGCTCGCGAGAGCGTTTCGACCGTGGGGGCGACACGAGGCGCCACCATCATGACCGAAGCGGGTACGATGTACTACCAACTACAGTGCAACCTGTCTAATCCGTAATCCAGACACAATTAAATGGGACAGAAGAACGTATCTATATTAGTGCTTAGTGAGGTGTTCTTTTATTTATTGCATGCAAGAACTGTACCTGGGGAAAAGGTGTGAATCAAAGGTGTCCTAAAAGAGAGGTGTCCCCATTTCAGAGGTGTCCTAATAGAGAGAAGCTGTACTGTGTTTACCTTTGTCCCAGGCCACCAGACCGGAGGGAGCTGGAAAGGAGACAGAGAGAGCTGGAGTATTTCGAACAGTAAGCTTTGATTTCACTCCGGCCGTAGAATCAGCTCTATGGTGTTAATACAGGAGACGAAAAGAGAGAGAAAGAGTGGCAGAGTGTGGGGTTTCAGAGATGTGGGCTTTGAGTCCAGAACGACCAGAATTCGAGTACATCCTCTTTCTCTCCCTATCTTACTCTCCCTATCTTCCTCTTCTTACTCTTTCTCCCCTCCTTCCTTTTCTGCCATCCCTCCCTCCCACCTCCACACTTCTCTCACCTCCCCCTTTCCCTCTCTGCCCATATTTAGTTTGCGAGCTTTTTGCTCTGAAATGCCACTTTCCCTCTCTCCCACTTTTCCTACACCCCTCTGTCGTATGTTCACAGCTCTGATGATGAAGAGACTATCAAACAGAGAGAACAGGCTGAGCTAATGGCACAGCTGGCAAAGAGGGAGGAGAAGGAAAGAAAGCGTCGCAAGAGGAAGAAGAAACACAGGGATAGTGGTGGCAGGAAGGGAAGGTCTGGCCAAGCATTCCCACTAATTTGCATCTTCCTCTGTTATTTTCGTTGGGGGGGAAGGTTTGGAGTGTTTAGTATATATAAGACGTGTATGTGTATGTATGTATTTATGTATGTTCTCCTCCCATCAGAAAGAGTAAGAGGTCACGCAAGGTGTCTGAGAGTTCAACTGAGGATTCCAGTGAGGAAAGTGAGGAGGAGGAAGGGGGGGAGGAGGGAGTGTGGGTGGAGAAGAAGGTACAGCAGGATGCAGATGGGGCATTCGTGGGACCAACTCAAGAGATTAGAGTCCAGGCTGTCACTTCCATGAAGGAGTAAGTCTCTCCATTAGTCCACTGCAGGTCTATCGAGCAAAGTTTAATACTCTGTCTGATAATCTCTGTCTGTTGTTACCAGCTATGGCCATGCTCTACTGCCGGGTGAGGGAGAAGCAATGGCAGCCTACGTGGAGAGTGGGCAGAGGATTCCCAGGAGAGGAGAGATCGGGCTCACCTCTGGCGAGATCAACACGTTTGAGGACGTTGGCTACGTCATGAGTGGGAGTAGGTCAGTCAGGAGTGTAAATGTAGATACCCTTGAAATGAAAAGCACTAAAAGTGCAAACCCTCGGCGAACTGCGCATGCGCGGTAGCACTAATTGATGGGCTGGGCTTTGTATCTTTACTCGTGGTATCCCGATAGTAGCTCGCGGAGAGTCTGGCACGGGCTAGCTACAGTAGTAGATAGCATGCGGGAGTCGATACATGCCCTTCGTTGTGACTTGTTGTGCCTTCAAGACACACAGAGCGAACGGACGCGGTCGAGGTAAGCCTGTGCTAATTTACATATTGGCTTGTTCACTTGGTTTTCACGCCATAACTTTAAAACACAGTAGTTTTACGAAAATCGCCTTTTTTAAAATCAACCCAGTGTAGCACTGAACCCGATCATATCGCTATTTACCTGATTTCGTGCACGCAGTGGCAGAAAACGTGGTAACAGACAGACTGACAGACTGACTGACACACTTACGGGACAACTACCGTAACCCTCGCTGCGCATGCGCGCCGAGGGTTAATCAGGCTATAAGCTAAACATACACGTTGCTATCTCACACATCATGTTGCAGAGATAGTTGGCCTGTAGTTAAGAATGTCTCGTGATCTTTGCTGCACGAGGCAAGTTCTTGCCGTAATGTCCTCTATATTATAAAACACACATGTATGTAAACTCAAATTTCGCAATTGTTGCTGCATGTACCAATATCTGTCGCACTCAATCGTTAAAAATGCATTGCTGTGTGTGTCTACAGGCATCGTCGTATGGAGGCAGTGCGTATCCGTAAGGAGAACCAGATCTACAACGCAGACGACAGGAGAGCTCTGGCAAACTTCAACAGAGAAGAGAGGCTGAAGAAAGAGAACGAGATAATGTCCGCCTTCAGAACCATGATCCACAAGAAAAACAGCTCCAAGTGAAAAAAGACTCGAAAACAACTCTTTAACAACTAATTGTCTGTTGCCAAATAAATATACTATGACCTCAAACCTACGCTGATATGCAGTTTTTGAATTTGTCTGTTGCTTCGTATCACATCTTGTATTGTACATACATAATATGAAGTCATTGCCACATAATTAATACTAATTAGCAGTTATTGTATGTGAGACTACACAGATAGCGCCACATTAATTTCGCAGACACACTTGCGGATTAAAGATAGAGAATTGGTGCACTGCATGCGCATGCATAAGCCGCCTTGCTGCTGTACGCTTTGGTTATTAGAGAGAGTGAATCATTATTATGTAAAAACTGCCGAGAAGTGTAGTCACGTGCTATATATCATAAGCATGTTGGAGAATGAGTGCTCTTCAAGACCAATGTATGCTGGGTGCGGTGATCACGAGTGGGCGTGGCAGATCTGGTCCATGATAACACTGGCCAGGTCCATCAACTGGAGATACTCGTCTGCCCCATCCATTAACCGTCTGTCCACAATCTGCCCAGAAAAACGACGACACCCTCACCTCAATCCAGCCCGAAGGCCACAATACACGATGCAACTTTGAGATGTGCGATAAAAAGCCTCGTGCAACTTGTCAATGGGTGATACCTCAAGCAACAGGTTGCTCAATACAACTGTTTCATGTAGCCTTCTCATAATAATTATACCCATATTTTTAAGTTCCATGGGACTTTATCCCACGTAACAAAGTTGCATCGTGTATCACAACCTTTAGATATTATAGTTTACCCCCATCTTCTCGGCAACCACAGACTTTTGTTTATCAGACAGGGTTTCCATGGAGACGAGTCTATCGTGGAGTTGACTGAGGGTCTGGGAGGCAGAATATCCCTCCGCTATCACCTCCTGTGGACACGTAGCTGATGTGAAACCAACGCCTCACCTGAGCCCCAGGAGTGGTTGTTTATATAGGCACCAATAATGACATACCTTTGGGACATAGAGCTAACTTTTGATTGATAAAATTTCACGGTTTGTGAAGGATACCATAAGAACGGGAAAGTTGGGGGAGAATGCTAGCGTGTTTTACAAGGACAATTTTCGAGGGCTATATACAAGTCAAATATACTTTTACAAAAGTGTCAGTAAAACAACTCTTACTCTATTACTAGAACAAACAGACATTTTGGGTGGGGAAAAGCGAGTCACATGAAGGCATACAGCAAATGAGTGAGAAATTTTTCGTTGATTTTAGTACTCATCGGCGTCTAAAAGGTTACTGTCCAGTGGTGAGTATAATACAGTGAGGTGTAATATATACAGAGCTACTAAACAGCTACTACAACTTTCTGCTATATAGTCTTTCCATGCACTGTGTGCACATGAGAGCTAACAACAAAGAATCATGATCCAAAAGCAATAGAGTTGTACTCTAGACAACCATAATGACAGAAGACATACATTTACACTATGCTGTATATACTACCTTCACAGAGGCATCGAGTCTTTCGTAGGAGTCAGAGTGACAGGCTTTGAAGACAGACTCGATGAATGATTCTGGAACTATCTGAAAAAACCAACAGATGGTCACAGGCACCATCGTACAGCCGGAGATGTTTTTACTTACCGCTGCAATTTCTAGCACGTCTTGTTTGTCAATCTCCTCAGATCCTTTCAGCCTGGCTGCACTTTGTAGGTAGGTGATGGCCTGTGGTTGGTCAAACCTTGTTAGAAGTTACTCAAATACTACAGTAAGACACAGTTGGCCTGTGGTTGGTCAAACCTTTTAGAAGTTACTCAAATACTACGTAAGACACAGTTGGCCCTGGTTGGTCAAACCTTGTTAGAAGTTACTCAAATACTACAGTAAGACACAGTTGGCCTGTGGTTGGTCAAACTTGTTAGTAAGTTACTCAAATACTACAGTAAGACACAGTTGGCCTGTGGTTGGTCAAACCTTGTTAGAAGTTACTCAAATACTACAGTAAGACACAGTTGGCCTGTGGTTGGTCAAACCTTGTTAGAAGTTACTCAAATACTACAGTAAGACACAGTTGGCCTGTGGTTGGTCAAACCTTGTTAGAAGTTACTCAACTACTACAGTAAGACACAGTTAAGACCATTTTGGGAAGCAAACGCGCAAGTACTGCTTGAACGTTCTTCTAAATAACACAATTCATGCTCTTATACATGCACAGGGGATAAGGCTAGGTTCACAATACGTCGCATTGCCGTCTCACGACGATGGAATCCATTTCTATCTTGTTGGCACGGTGCGGCAAGCAAAGCGACGTACCGTGAACGTATTGAAGGGCCCCAAATCCGTACACTTACCTTTCTCAAATCCCCTTCAGAAGTCTCCACAATTGTGTCGATAACCTGAAGAACAGGGGCACTATTTGAGGTATATACAGTGGAACCTCTGAATAAGACACATTGGGACAATTTCGTCCTTTATAGGGAGGTTGTCCTCTCTTCCTAGGTCTAATATGTACTAGAATAATAGAAAAGTGAATGTTTGGGATCTAAAAGTGTGTCCTTATTAAGAGGTTCTTCTATTGTGTCCCTTATTTGGAGGGTCCTTATTGGAGGTTCTAGCCGTTCGTACCACTAGGTTAGCTCGCTCCCGCTCGCCAATAAAAAGAAAGGGAGACAAGACAGAGATTGGATACATCTACAGTATACCTCATCAGAGCAAGTAACGTTCTCCTTGTTAGCAATGTGCTGCAGCCTCTCTCTTAAAATATCCACTGCCAGAGGCTTGAAACGAAACTTTGAACATCTCGACGTGAGAGGCTCAATAATCCTGGAAAAATTGATAGATGGTGTATATAATTATGGCCCAGTGAAACAAAAATGCAGCTCTTCTTTTCTCAATGGCAAAAAAGAGCTGTCCTGGGTGTATATAGTTGACTTGTTTGTTGTGCCTTTGTCTTTCTACCTCGTAGTTTTCACATGCACCGGGTCTCTTTCGTGCACAAATATTGAAAGTAGCAGTGATATGGAATAGATTTACGCAATTCAGATGACTTGGTAGGCTTATGTATGACACAAGCCTCGGCCCTTTTATGCTCTCTTGCAACAAACACTATACCATCGTATGACCTTTGTTTCAAACAGTATAATAATTATACAAAGCTAATTGCGAAGATGACTCTCACAGGGTGGAGCATGTGAAAGAAAAAGAGGGAGAGAGATGGGGAGGAGAAAGAGGAGAGGAGAGAGAAGGAGAGAAAGGCAGCATCCAGTACCGACTGATGTAATTGCAGATGAGGCAAAAACGAGTCGATTTTGACTCTCTTTCCATTGTTCTTCTGAGAGCAGCCTAAACACACAGAATAGAGAAAAGAAGTAGTGAATGAGGGGACAGGGTGGAGGGAAAGAAAGAGGGAGGGGGTGAGAGTTGTAAATACAGATTAAATCTCCTGTATATACCTGTGCTGCAGAAGTCATTGAGTCAGCCTCATCGAGAATAACAATCTTGAATGGAGGACATGGTTTACCACTGCATACATACAGACCACGAGTCAGACAAAATAATTGTCCCACTTTGCATCTCAATGCATTACAGGAATCACCTAAACACTAGCACCTAACCCTCTCCTTACATCCTCCTGTACAAGAAGCGCAATGCAAGGGTTAAACGCGACAAGATTGCAAAATGTCCTCACTCCATACATAATTTAGTAGAGCATACAGACACACTCACTGCCATACATAATGCATAGAGACACACTCACTCAGCCCGAACAGCGGACACACTTTGCTGGGAGAATCCCTTCACTTTCTCCCGAACTACCTGAAGAAAAAACATCTTTTCTCGAAGGTCTGAATCAATATGTATAGCAAGTAACTTCGAGGAGAACTTCCACGAACGTCACTGTTTTTGAGCCATTTTCAGTGAAATGTTTTTGGGTGTATATACACATTAATTTTGTATAGCAGTGAAGAGAGCAATCAGTAAGTTTTCTCCACAAAAATTGTTAATTGAAAAGTTTTCCCTCTTTACCTGTATCCCTCTCTCGTCGGACGCATTCAGTTCCAAAACACGAGAACGGTACAGCTCCCACCTGCCCACCAAATGAACATACAATGTCTATTGCAGTTGTCACAGAGTGCAGACTCCATAACTCACCCAAATAGCTGCTTAGCTACGGCCAGAATCGCCGACGTCTTTCCAGTTCCTGGCGGTCCATAGAAAAGTAGGTTTGGAAGCTGGAGTTCAACGAAATCAATTTTCCAGTGATAAAAACGTAGTTGATTCACGTACATCTGATCCCTGCACGCTCTTCTTTAGCACTGCAACGACCTCGTCTTGATGCGCTACGTCTTCCACTGAGCGCGGGCGGCTTTATTTGGAAAAAATAATGGGGAAACACGAACAACACGCAAAGCAGCAACTCACTATTTCTCGACCCACGGAATGCTTTTTTGAGGTTTCGGTGCTGCCTTAGACTTCTCCTGTGACTTCGCGTTGCTGCTAGACGAGCCTTTCAGAAAGGCGTCCATCTCACCACGCACGCATGTGCGCGCAGCGAGCTCAGAATGCGCATGCGCACAATATAACCGAAGTTGTATATAAAGGGGAGGGGTGTTTAGTCTACTCAAGATGGCTTTTACTACCTTGCAGCTCATGAAAATTCCGCAGAGATATACTGCGACCATGCGGCAGGTTTTATTCATCTGTTTGCTAACGTTTTAGCGCCAAAACTCCAACCATCACACGCCCCTCTCCGCATGTGCAAGCGCACCTTGAAAACAGTGTTTTCTCCAACAGCAACAACATACTGGTCGAATATTGAATTACTAAAGAGGACTAATACAACTAAGAAGAACGAACTACGGTTTTCAGCAAAGAGGTATATATGTAAGTCTGTACATAGCTACACATTATGTGTAGCATGCAGTGCGTGCGAAACGTGGGCGGGGCTGGTTCCTGATCGCTGCTGCGCTTACGACGACTTCATTTTTTGCAGGTTGTTTCTGCAGTCCACCTGCACCTGCACGGCCTTATCCGCAGGATGGAGACATCACTGCGTGAATGGGTGCTCTTTCTTTTCGCATTCGGTGCGTGCATTGAGTACGGTTGCGCCGAGAGACCTGTCCTCAACCTTTTCGGAGGTGGCGCAAACGTAGCAACAATTGAAGTGCTGGTTGATACGGCCGAATATTTCACGGCGCGGCTCGCCCTGAACGAAGACACTGCAAATCTGGTGACGGACGTTGACGAGGATATCCAGTATGTTATAGCAAAGCTGAACGGCGGCGGTTTAGAGAAGGAAGACCTGCTGCTTGACACGAGCTTCAGAGAAATTTCACTCCCCGTTGTCGTCGACGTAAGGGAAGGGGGTGAGATCGAGATCAGCATTGGTGGCGCGGATTCCTTCAATGCTTCCGCGGCAAATTATAGTACAGTTCTCCAGCTCTTGAGCTACCGATCGAATTTGACTTCGAGCGCGCTTTCGGAGCCTCAGCGAAACGTTACCATCACGGCTTACGACAAAGTCGGAGCTGGGAACACTCAAACCGCCCTGATTGAGCTGCGTGTGCCGAACCAGGACGCTCCGCTGTTCACAGACAATGCAACGTACTCGTTCTCTCTACCGGAGAATTCTGACGTCGGGACTGAAATAGATTTGGTTAGCGCTGTCGATCCAGAAGGCCGCACGGTAGCTTATTCCCTGACAAGCACCGTGTTCTCCATTGACGCAAACACTGGCGTCGTAAGAGTGACGGAGTCCAGCGCGTTAGACTTCGAAGACAGGAGAAATTTCGAGCTAACGATAGTAGCCTCAGATCAAGAATCCCATCTCTCCACTAACCTCAGAAGCAACACTCAGCATATCTCTGACAAACGAGTCAACGATAACGATCCGCTTTTCAACCCCGACTCGTACGAGGCCGACGTTCCCGAAAAACGTAGAGGGTGCGTTCGTAGTTACGCTCACTGCGGACGACGCAGACGGTGACTCTCTGCAGTACTTTTTTGCCGATACTAACACTGAATTGACTTTCGCAGTCTATGATGCAACACTGGATTGATAACGTGGCGCGACCAGCTCGAATTTTCGAAGCCTACACCTTGGTACACTTTCGCCGTTCTGGTATCGGACGGTGAGCGTTCGGACTCCGCCAGCGTTGTCGTACGCGTGACGGACGTAGCCGACGGAAGACCCTGTGTGCTCGCCACTTCGAAAGAAAGACCATCTCCTAACTTAGTATGACGGTTCGCAGATAATGTGATTGTCGCCAACTATAGTTTTACTTTTCATTTTTGTCAGATGAGACGATTGTATATACACCTTACCAACTGGCACTGGAGGACCGTTTGCACAGTTGACGATGACAGTTTCCGTCTTCAGCGAGGCGTCTTGCAATCAAGCAGAACTTCAGGGGGAGTACGGTATACTTTTGCATCATGCAACATGTATAGCTTGACTAAATCGAGTCTTTCTATCACAGTTGGTTGAGTTTCCTCTGGACTACGGATGTTATTCATGGGCTGATGCCGCAGTGCTCCGGCCACCCAAGCTGCAGTGCCATTGAGCTTGTGGGCCACCGTCGTGAAGTCTACTTTCAGCTGCAGTGGTTCGTCAGGCTCAGCTGCATGCAACTGGTAACAATAGAACTCGTCTTGAGAGCACTGCCTATTTGTTGCACTGGTTCACACACTCAATGATAACTGGGTCCATATTTCCGATCCAACCCAGTGTCTGACTTCTTTAAGCCACGTTTGATAACGCAGGCTTTTCTAACCCTTTTCCTTCTGGATAGATGGTGATCCCACAATTGGGGTCCTTCCTACATGTTGTCTCTTTTGATACTGGAAGGACCGGTATTTCTTCTCCTCTCTTCTTCGCCTCATCGCTACAGCCAGGTCTAATCTTTGTATTCTTTCGATGAGAGCACACTATAGTGCAATCTCGGCACAGGGGGACGATCTTATACGTGAGAGTCAAGTGTGGCCCTTAGCTTTTACTATTACCCGAATTATCCTGTCCGTGACGCCCTGAGGGACAATGAATGGCACTTTTATTGCTCTCTCAGTCGACTTCCCACCAGTTCACTAACCGTCGGTGCTATGTTCTTCGGGTCTACGCTGGTAACTACTACGATTCCACAGACACAAACTTCTTTTAAAACTAACGTGGTACCATTATTACATGCCTGCGCCAATCCTGTAAAGACTCATCTGTGATTGACAGTCTTACAGGGTATATTTGGTGGTCTTCCGTTGCTAGAGGCTTGTCCTGAGGCATTGGAACAGGGGCACCATGCTGTCAGTTTATTCTAACGAACCCCTTTGAGTCACTGACGCTTACACGTGCCATCTGCTCTGGTGACGTCAATATTTCCCGATGGCTCGGTGATGTGGCTTCACCCACATTTTACGATCCTGGCCAAGCGCTTTGTTTGAAGTTCAGTACTCTGCTGACTCCAATCGTACCCATTGGCGCGACACCGAGTACCAGAATTCATGGGACACTCATTTTCCTCTGACAATGGCGGTTTGCAGTTCGCCACGAAGGCGGAGGTTGAACCTTGGAGTCAATCTCAGTACAGTGAAGGTGGAGACAATCAATTTGAATTGACCTTCAGTTCTTGTATCTAATTCTTGTTTTTGGTTTTGCCGATATTCAGGTGTTTGATGAAGGATCTGGGAACAGTGTCCCCGAGATTGAGTGTCTATCGGACGGCTCCACACTCTCAATTCAGTCCGGTCGCGATCCATGGCGGAGAAAAAAAAAAATAAAAAAGCGTTGCAAAATGGGGAAGAGTGAGTTGGAAGATACTACACGTCACTTCTTTGAGAGAAGACAGGGACACCATGTTTGCAAATTGTAGGACGATGATTTCTTTCATCACCCGTACCGATGAAGATATTGACCCAAATCATCATGAGTATCATCACCGCACTCAAACCCTCGGCTCGACATCCATCGCAAGCTGGATCTGAGCGCTCTCACAGATGGCCCCCGACAGACATAAACAGTGCCCTGGGGAAAATACTCATTGCGTGGTCCTTAATCTTGCATCATACCCTCTTTTTCAACGAGCCAGCAGACTTTTTCATTACACTCCTCCTGCGTCTGCGGTAGACTAACATCGGAGATGAGGCTCGGGGCGAAGAAAGGGGTCGTCACTTTTCCTCACTCGTCTGACGGGCTTGTTTACAAACGAACTCCTATTTTTGCCGTGGCCAAATAGCCATAGAATAGGTGAATGATGTCCCGTATGGATTTGAACGCGGGATGTCACACGGAACAAGCAACAATCATGTGGTGTATGCTGGAGGGCTGATCCGCACCGACTCTAGCTACTCCCGATCCAACACTGGAAGAACATCCCAAGCCCCAATTCTCATTCTCGTCGGAGCTCACCCCGTTGACTTCTTGAAGCCTATGACACCTGGCAATGACATCTGTGGCGGTTGACATACGTTCTGCCATCAACTGGATCGAGTATAGTTGTAACCTCTCCCATGCAACGGACCAGTTTGAAATTGAGTGGAAATCCTGCACCTAGTTCGCATTACCAGACCCTCTCCTGCTAACATTGTGCGCTTACTTGAATCTTGAAGCCAGCCCTTGAACTTCCCTAAGTTTGCGACGTGACCGAGCCATCGACTGTACGGGTGAGAGACGAGCTAAGTTTGATGCATCTACCTCACCGAAATTCTCATAGATGGTCCTTGCAACCTCTCGAGTCCTTATCCAGCTAGACGTCCCAAATCAAGACTATACGTCACTGAGTACATACCGAGGGGCAGGGTGAGATAATTTCCGTTGTCCGGTGATCATCGAGATTCGAATTGTAGACACGCCTCTAACGACCCTCCATTCTGTTTGAACTTTGACGATCCTGGAAACATTTTTACCGGGGGAATAAGAGAACGCGGCGAGCGAAATATCTGTCAACACTGCAGATCTAGCCGGCCTTTCAGAGTTGGTTATCGGATTCATGCGATAATTGAAAAGGATAGCCGTTCATCTGGAAGGCTCCTTGGCGGATTACTACGCCATAAGACACGTGGAGGTAACATAAACTCCAGAAGACGACCCAAACCCCACAATCGCATCATTGATCCTTTTGTCCCGTTGATCCTGTAGGCGCCCCTCAATACTTTTCCTGTCACAACATTTCCATTATCCACTGCATCAACGACCCCGTTCCCCAGTGTGCATACACCGGAGCAACAAGACACTGTAACCAGTTTCGGAGACATTTTGACGCCAATGGAGCTTGTTCACACCTTTAAAGTGGTCCACCGATGCATGTGGTGGTATGGGGGAAAAGTGTGCCTATGACTAATTGAAGGTTGGCGTAGTCGTTATTCTCCTGTTTCCCACTTGGGCGAGTCAGTGTAATTGCCAACGTTGCTTTGAAAGCGTGGAAAATCCCACACCGTTGTAGTTGAAGGCATGCGACAACGGCATAACCTCCGGACAAATTCTGTTTGTGAGTTTCTCTGCAATATTTAACATTACTGACTTCAACGATGACCACCGACTTTTTCAGAGGAGTCGTACACCTCGAGTTGCGAAATGCCATTAACTAGCATCACGTGCGTTTTCAATCGTTTGTTACTGACGCATACTCGGAACAAATGCCTATATGTGGATCTCTCCATAGACACTAACCATATGTTCCAAGGACAGGCTGCGTGGGGCTCTTTGCAACAACCTGTAATCCTCCCAACACTGTCACCCTAGCTCCAGGTCTTGCCACGAGACGGTGACATTCCCTGCCTTTCTCACCATCATAGCCACAGATGGGGTGGATCTAATGCCCTGACAGGCACTGCAACTGTCACGTAAACATCATCAATGAAGACGACTTCCCCCCTAGTTTCACCCCACCCAATTCCATTTAATGTCTTGAAGACATTTCTTCCACTATCTATTGGCACATTGAAGCTGAGTATTGACTGCCCGTAGTGTTGCCTTTGGTGGTGCTCGGGCACAACCGATTTTGAAATAAACTCGGTCATCGTGGGCGGATATCACATTCCTTTGTTTGTGTTGTTTTTTTTTCTCTACACCGATCACGTACTATAGCTACAAACCACTCTTTGAATGTGTGGGCTACTGATCCCAGCTCCAATAGTGCCACTGGGCTGAATAATTGTGAGTGTCCCCCTATCAATAACGACCATCCAACACTAGACCTCAATGCACGGCCGATTCAGCCAACTCTCGCATCCCGTTGTCTTTATCGAAGAGTCAACTGAGCCAGTGACACTCGCAACCTGATCCATCCATCACTGATCCTGACCAAGTTTCCTCTGATCATTTCGAGTTAGGGCAAGAGTAGCCAATGCTTTACATCCCTCTCTGGGAGGCAACTCAGTGTCATCCTGTCCTGTATTGTCACGGCCGTTCGTTCGACCTATCTCACCTGCAGGCGGTTCAGTCTTTTGTCTTAGAGCCAGTGTAACCCAACTCAACTAATGATGTTTTACGAGCTGATCAAC